TTTCTCCTCCAGTGCAGTGAGATAAATGAGGCAGGAAGCCCTCTGAGTTTGCATGGACTCCTCCTCATGGGATGGACACTGTGACACACAGCTTAAATACTGACTCACACACAATGGAAGAAGACCTGTCTTCTTTAAGTTCACTCAATCGTTCTCTGCCTCTTTCATACCTGAGTGGTAAATTGATTTTGGGTGTGACAGTTCCCTTGTGCTGGATAATTTAATTCATGTGGCAGACCAGGACAGTCACATCTCCACTGACACCAGAGAATCAGCCACAGCAAGTTGTCTAATCTACAACAAACTCTCTTGTTCTTATCCTGGACACTTCTCTTTGCCAGAAGTGAAGTTATAATCATTTAAACTCTCAAGCTCTATAATGCCAGATGTGTTGTATTACACTTCCCTCTATTGTTGTTGTCATTAACTGCAGGTGAGTGTATCTCGTCGGGATGGGTTGGTACACCAGATGGTTTCAGTCTCCTGAGTCTTACATTCAGTAGAATCTCCAGCTCCTTTCCCCACAGCTGTGCTCCAGCTCATCATGGGCTTCTGTGTCCTCAGACAATGTGGTGCAGTGACTGCCCTCTGCTGGAGCTTAATCACAAAATTAACCATCATTATAATTCTCTTGTATAAATATGTCATGTAAATATACACAGTTAATGTTTGCTTTATATACATGTATGTCAAATTAAACTAAGAAAATCATCTTCCCTAATCTTTGAGTGTTCTATTTTGGCTGTGGTTGAATGATAGATCAAATTGTGCTGATCTTTTTGCACATTATTTTCTTCTCTTCAAATTTATGGGGGTTAAGGTTCCTTAGATTTCATGATCTTCTAACACAGATTTGTTTTTAGTTTTTAACACTGCTCTATGTGATTAACATCAAAAGTTTGTATAGGAAAGCGCTGTGTCTCTATGTGTGTGTACAGTGGTTTGTCTCTTAACATGGTCCAGGTAGACATGAATTGTGCTGGATGCTGAATTTCCCTCAGTTAACTGCAGGGTATGAGGAGACATCAGTCAAAGGGATGGGGGCTGTAAGGACACGAACAGTGGCAATAATACAAACTGCAATTAGGAGTTTTACGTTGACCACTGTAGCACACAATATTTTCAGACTGTAGGTCACTGAGATCATGAATCACAACGTCGGACTTAAAAAACATTTTGCCCACATTCCACTGAAGTCTTTCTGCTGGTCAGTGATCACAGTATTCCTAAGCACATCCCATCAATGAGGCCCA